CCGCAAGTCCCAGCGGCGCGGCGCGGCGCGCACGTTCCGCCGCAAACACGATTTACCACCTCTTGCTTGCCTTCAGCCGTTGGAGTGCTGTTGACTTGTGTCTCAAATTGGTGCCAATTAGTGTTCTAAAAACCGGTCAAATCGGGTGGATTGCGTGCATTCTGATCAGAGGCACATCTTTCCTCTCGCGGTACAACCTGTGGCCAGCAAAATTGGGCCTTACACCCAAAGCTGTCAGTTCTGCTGAGTGGAATACAAGCTGATATAGTACCTAGTTTGCTAGAGTTAACACTAACCTTTAACAAAAAAAAACAAACACACACACACCAAATTTACCAATGATTATTTACCAATGCTTTGGTTTGGGCAGGAGATGTAATGGTTATTGGGGGCATTTCATTTGCCTCCCCTTTTTGGAAATAAAACTATCCCATTGTGTAGCCAGGTGCACTACTCTTCAAGGCCCTGGGCTTCACTGCCATTAAGTAGCCTGTGCCAAAATAAAACAGGCTTTGAGTAGGTCATAAGGCTGTGGACAAGTACCTGTTTACCAAATAGCCATGAAGAAAAGATCTGGACTTGCTGAGGGTGTTGGCAATTGATTAGATGCTCCTTCTTCACACATTTAGACTTTCTGAAGATGTGCTGGTCATGACTAGCACTGTTGCTAGTACCTGGCATTACGCTGCAGGCCACCATCTGTTGACTTCCTCTGGTGGACCATGCGATGCCACAGTCTCTTTTAGGATGCAGGTGTCTTTCAGCATCTCTACTGGGAAGCCAGCCTTCTGCCTCTTAATGCCCAATCCAAAAAAAGCACCTTACCCACTTGCTTCCAAGCTTTTGCAATCTGTATGGTGCATAAACATAGACCTAATCCTTGCCAAAACCAAGCACAGTTTCTCATTATGACTGGCTAAGGTCTTTCTGAGGGGAGTGGTGCATCATGACTCTTGACCTACTCAGGAAGGTAGGCAACACGTACCGAGCAAGCACAGGTAGCAGACTACACTATAGGGACTATCAGACAAACAATACATTTTAGAAATTCACTATTTTTAAACCTAGGCCTTTTCTTTACACCTACTTACAGCAAGTTGGGAACATGCCCTTTTCATATTTGAGACTCTGCTGAAGTAAAATCCTAGGGATATTTATAGCTCATGCTTGGGAAAAAAAAAAATCATTGAATTGCTTGTAAGGATGGCAGCAGAGAGAGCTTTCCCACGTAACGAAGCTATTACAAAACAAACTAGACATGAATCCCAATCTGTACTTTTTGTTCAAGTGAGCCCCAAACAGACTGGGTGGCCAGCAGTGGGTCTATTCATTCAAACAAAACTGCTGTATAATCTGAACTTCAAACTGAGAGAAAATGAGGCAGCAGAGTCTAACACTACCAGTGATCCTGAAACTCAGCTGAACACAAGCTGAGTCTGACTCGCTTCTATGTATCCCACTGAATTCACTATCATCTTTTGCATCTGAGCCACTCTTGAAATTCAAATACTGCATGTACCTTGTGGCTCTTGAAAGATTTTGGTAGACGGGCCAGGAAGTGTGGCCACTTCTTGTGAATTTGAAATGCAACAGTAACATCAAATGCTAATGCTAGTAAAGTGAATTCAATTGAACCATGCAAAAGCAGGCACGTGAATCAATTCAACTTTTTGAGCATGCAAGCAACTAGTCTTATTCTTGACACTTGTTCACTGTTCTATACTATGAAATACTTACATAGCTACCATAGCAGACATACAACATATATTTAATTGCATCCTTGGTCACTAAGTACAGTCCTTTGAAGAGTGATACTTCAGAAAATTTTTACCAAATGATTTATCAGCAAGCTAGCCTAACAGAGGAGTATCAGTTCCTCCTGTTCTCTTGTCAAAAATGCTGCCAACAGCAAGCTGACTTCACAAAAGGGTATTCAATAATTGTCCTGCAATCTTTATGTTCTACCTTTTCTGTTGTGATGACACGTTAGCTTCTGAGCGATGAAACCATCTCTTGCTATGTACCTGGGCAACATCTAGAAAAATGAGAGCCTCAACTCATTTAGGACCACTTGGTACAAGAGAAAGAGGGCATTAAATACAGGTCTTCAGAGAAATTTCCATCTCAAATTGTACATTGAATCTTTTGATTTAGCCTTAAGGCACACCTGCAAGCACAAAGCAAAGTATAAGATAAGTCTAATACGCACAAATTCATAAATTTGAAAAAATATAAAGCTAGTATGTTTTAGTGTATGAACCAAGACATTTTCCCATAATTGCAGGGGCATGGGCTTTTGACTAGTGAACTTAGTCTTTTGTTGCATTTTTTTAGTTACATCTCTCTCCAGATTTCTTTCTGAAATATATTGACAATATATCAGGAAGAACATTTAAGCTGTAAATACTGTGTAACGCTCAAAATTCTTTTTTTTGGCAAAGAGGAATTTTGTTTATGGGCACATTTTATATATATATATATATA